TGTTCAATTTTTGGGTAAAATTTTTTTAGTCGATATCCTTATATAGAAAATGATCTACATTCACCCTACCTTTAAATCGACCTTAGCGTACTAATTAAAAATATTGGAAACGAAATTTTGCATATAATGGACAACAATCTATTGCTATAGCCTATAATGTTAACGGCCTAGCCCTAAACTTCTATCTTTACGCATTTAGTTTATTTACAAAATTCGATTTCCTTTTTTGGTTTGTGTTACCCGCGCAAATAAGTAAAACCGTAAAAAAATATTGATCTGATCTCATTTTCGCGTCAAAATTCTTCGTTTTGCCAAATTTACATCCTGAATACCTGAATACAGGTGCGTTGGGTAGCTATTTTCTTCTCTTTATAAACCATAACTTTTGTTAGCAAGAAGGAAGCGTCTGCGACAGAGGGAGACTGTCGGAAGCCAGCAATGGCAAGTCGTCGTAATAGTTGATGGCCGGCTGACTTTTTCGCTTAGAGTTATCGGAGGGTTGTTTAACAAATAAGGCGTCTGCGACAGAGGGAGACTGTCGGAAGCCAGCAATGGCAAGTCATCGTAATAGTTGGTGGCCGGCCTTATCTGAAGAACAACTGCTTTGATTTTTATCTCATTTGCTTTGATCAACGATATACTTAAAATTTTTTCTACTTTTAAGCGATAATGGGAAAGTTAAAATCCTCATGCAACGTAAAAAGAATATCCCAGCAAGAACGCCACGTCGACTGGATGTTGGCTTGTTCTGATCCAACTCCACTTGCATTTTTTCGGTTTATATTTCCATCTCACCGAATTAAAGCATCTGAAAAATATAAGAAGGCGCTCGATCTTGCTTTTAAAGAAGTCGACAGTGAGGAGTTGCGTAATAAGTTCGAAAAAATGAAAAAATCAGCCAGTGTACGTAATTGAATAAAGTGCCATTTTCTTATATCTAACTCTGTGCTCTCCTTTGTTACAGGAAGCAAGAATCTTAGAAGATTGGGAAATATGGATGCAGCAAAAAACAGCGGTATATCTAGTTATTTACCCTTAAATGGTTTGATTTAATATTGACAAATCCATATATAGATTTTAGTTCGTCGTGGTGTACGTAATACCAATCTTAATCTTCATGAGGAGATAAACACGTTGTCATTAAGTAAGGTAAATTAGTCATATTCCTCAAAAAGTAAATTAAAAGGCTTTCAATAAGTATGCTTAAAAGGTTGGGTAATTTTTATTACAGGATGGGCTATCGGCAAAAAACATGAAATTTAATCCAGATTCAGATACAAGTGAGGAAGATCAAGGGGAAGAAGATCAGGAAGAAGAAGAGTCCGCAGATGAAATCGACAAATTCTTTATGAATAAGGAAAATAATGAAAAGACTCGTAATGGCGCTACCAGCAATGATATTGATAGCATTAACTTCGTGGAACGTATAGAAGAATCCAAGCCAATGCCATCAACCTGTCAATATCCGTGGGTCCTCCGTAGTGGTACAAACGTAGGAGATAAATTGGCAAGTCACGTCAAGACAATTCCTGAGGCTCAAAAATCTTTGAGGTAGGTTTATTGACAGATAATATGGACGTTAGTAATGATTTTTTTAATTATAAGTTTTTTTACTTATAGCCTCGCATATTGGAATATACTCGATCTGACCGAGAATTCACAAATAAAATCTCTTTTCTCGACGAATGACTGGGAAGAAATGGTTGAAAATTTCAATAATGAAGTTAAATTGATTGAATCAGATTTTCTTGATGTGGTAGAGTATTTTTTTGATGAAGTTGAAAAAGTAAGTTAAAAAAAATATATTTGTTCTATTTCAACACTTTAAAAAATGTTGCTGACTCAAACAATTTAGATTACAAAAAAAGACGAAAAAGATATCATCAACGCGATTGATAGATTAACCCCGGAAATTATTGAAGCGAATAGAAAAGTAGAGCTTAGCGATGAAGAAAAAAGTGTTATTTCTATTTTAAGACGGGCTGTTGTCGCGTAGTAAGTGAAGCAAAATATACTTATCAAAAACTTTATTTTGTTTTCTTATGGTCAATTCTTGCACATATAGTGCTGAAAATCTGGAAAGAATTGATCTTCCTGTTTCCGAGGCTGACTTTGACAACGCATTTCCCAACATGCTTGCCAAAAGATTTTTAAGTCGTGAAGAACTAAAGATGGATGTGTAAGTATAGATAAGCAATATTAATAGTCTGATTTTATGTAATCAAATTCAATTTTACATAATTCTATAGTGGGGAAATAGCGTGCTGGGCGTCAGCTTGTCGCCGAAATGAAGGTCGTTCTGTTGTTCTCAGAGCTCGCATTGGACAAAAGTGCGATTTTCGGGGGAATTTTGAAAAAGAGCGTCAACAAGCTTGAGGCTCTTATAGGTCTCAGAAGTGGTGGACTCCCGGAGCCTCATCGAAAAAAAATTTATGAAGACAAAGTTGATCTGAGCGTGGCAATGCGGGATATCTTATATACGTTTTTTAAAGAGAATCCTAAAGCACCTAGTTCTGACCTTCATTCCACATTTGTCTTTGGAATACACTCATGGGGTAATTAAGCAAAAGAAACAATCGTAGTAATGAAATTGCATCAATTAATAACTTTTCTTTCCTCTGCTAAGGATGGGTTCATAATATATATGGAATGGACTGTAAAGCGACGAATATACTACGACTTGGTGATATTTCTCATTCAAAGATGCCCAATACCCTAAAAACGCTCTCAATACTTGAAAGTTTTTATGTACTTTTTACGGATTTGCAGGTATTAATTATATACTTATCATTACTACAATTGATAATATTTAGAATCTTATTGTACTATTATAATCACCTAATTTCAGGCCACGTTGAATACTATTTGTGAACACACAAATAATGTCTCGCTTGCACATTCACGTGCACACAGAAATCGAAAAAGGAAGAATCCGGAACAAGCTGGTGAGAAAGGAGGATCATTTGGAAATCTTTCACAAACCCCGGTAAAAAAGAGTAGATAATTAAGCATGAATTATCTAGATTCTTTCTTAGATTTAAAAGTCCGAGATTATAATTATATTTCGCGTCATCATTTGTAATAAGCTGAAATTTTCAAAATAAAGGCAAGCATCAAATTTTATCACATAAGATAGCTGCGCGACGTTGTCACGCAAACCAGGAACGGAAGATGTGTGGAGTATAGTATTTGTATATTTGATATTGATATGCATAAGTATACATGTGTGCCTAAATTCGGGACGATTTACGGCATTACGGCATTTTTTATATTTTCGGCAACCTCTTCAAAATGCCTAAATGCCGAAAATAATTACGGCAGCCGAAATTATTTTCGGCAGCCGTAATTATTTTCGGCA